TGAACGAAACTGCGGCAGCTACAACCACAGTACGACGAGTACGCGGTTATTACAGCTGACAATGATGATGATGATGATGATGATGATGATGATGACGGCAGTGAAGCGTCAGTGCCAACACTGATGTTACTGTCGATGATGATGATGATGATGACGATGGAAGCACCGGAATCTTAGGATGAAAAGCCCATTAGATTCCAGTAGAACACATTGCTACTTTTCCGCTAAACGAGCAGTACCTGAACTGCCTTGGAGTCCTCAACAGAATCACCCTGCATTTTGCTCCAAGTGGTTTGGTAAACTTGGTAGATTTGGTGAAGTCAAAGTGCCACTCAAGAGGCCTTCTAACACGACGGGTGTATCTAGTGGGATGCACTTTGACCCCTTTCTTAAACAAGTTAGTGGCGTAGGTACTCGAAGACCAATATATAGAATCCGGTTGCGAACTCAAGACCAGAGTGAAAATGCTTGATCGTGTGAAAATTCGAACATCTCAGACACTGATCTGTGTGTTTCGTTTTGTAACGGAGCTTCGAAATGCCTGTCTGCAGTTCTCATAGGACCTCTAGAGTCGTGTCACATAGTCTTGACTACCGCTTGCATATTTTGTACTGGTTTACGAAGCTGGACACGCAATTTCACGTGCTACTCAAATGGACTCGTGGCTGACACGTGCCTCCAGTGTGAGACGCAGCCATTAATCACGACAGATCTTCGAAGAATGTCATGAACACATGTGCTTCAAGCCTTTCCATGTCTTGTTATCAGGGTCGTTAACGCATCGAGTTTGGAGTTTTTACGTCACCGCTGAAGTCCTCGGATCACGACATTCTGTTGTATGAAATCGGTCATACTAACAAGCCGCACTGACATATCTAACTGTTAACGGACACATTTATTTGTGACTATACCCTCAGTACTGTTAACAGTTCAAAAGAGTGGGTTTCCGAATCGAAACTCTGTGGAATCGCAACTTTTTCGCACTCATATCGCCCATTCTCAGAGCCAGATTTGTGGGTCAGTGTTCTTCCATGTCGTTGAAAAGAGTCCCGGAAGATGCGAAATCTGTCCTACAAGACTGCTTCGTGTAATGGGCTTCTACAACTATCACTAACACGATTTTGCATGTTTTCCCGCCCCGAGCATGTGACATCGTTGCAGCTTGCTTAAGCGACACCACGCGGAACTTTCAGCCAAGTAAACTGAAGAGGCACAAAACGCGCTAAATCGGTAATGGACTATTGGCGGATTGTTGTGAACCTGGTACCAGGTATCTTTAAGACTGATGCATCTTGTCTATCTGGGGAAGCATCCTCATCGAAATCAAATGTTCTGGCTATTGCGGGTAGCATATTTGTAGTGTTTGGGAAAGTACACAACGTTCTTGGGTAGAATCTGTCGCCCCTTCTTTTGGTCACTTCTGAACACTTTTACCGAAAGCAAAATAATAAAAGATTACATAGGGGAATAGCATAAACGAGAAATGCAGCTTGGTTCCAAGTGAGTCCCTCGCAAAGCCGAATTTGTTTGCAAACGAGTGTATTTCGCTACATGAGGAACACTTACTAAGCAGCTGGTCTCCCCATTTGCATATACTATGACTGTAGTCAACACTCAGTCTGTTGTCTACACACTGATTGGCTGATCCCATGTCCAATGGTAGTCTCACTGTCGCAACTCCAGTTGGTAAGCAATTTTCCCTGAATTACGGACTAACCGTTTGTGTTTGCGCAGGTGAATGGCGATAGTCCCGGTGATTGCCCTTAATCGCGGTTGGAGAACTCTTGAATGCCGGAATGCCACTCGATAGGTTACGCGGATGGTTTTTTCTCCGATAAACATCTGTAGGTTTGGATAGGGTATCCAGCATTACACGGTCGCTGGAACGAGGCACCCATCCTTCTGCGGTCCAGATTGCTTTATGATACTCGCTGTGTTGAAGTGAACCATCTATAGGTCAAGTGGACAGCTGCGAGAGATAGATGAGTTGCTTTTCAATCGTAAGCCAAGTGGAAGCATGACGCTCCTTATGTGAGCATTACGCGCTCCCCTTCCTTCTGCGGTCCACATTGCTTTATGATACTCGCTGTGTTGAAGTGAACCATCTATGGGTCAAGTAGACAGCTGCGAAAGACAGATGACTTGCTTTTCAATCGTATGCCAAGTGGAAGCATGACGCTCTTTATGTGAGCATTACGCGCTTAGTACTGAAGCGCCGTACACGGACACCACCGATCCCAGGGGTTGGATCCCGAAAAGCGTAAAAGACAGAAAATCAAAAATCTACAGCAGACTCTACAGAAAACTTGAAATAGGAGGGGTAAATTTAAGACATTGAATGAGCAAATGGAGAAGTGGATCAAAATCCATACTTGATGAGCCGTTTACAAGGTGTCAGTGAAAGAGATAGGACGTGCTCCGAGAAAATCTTATTCCAAAGACACCAACCAAAGACACCCACTAAGTTCTTTTTCGTGGTGGCTGCAAACACGCACTTTTGTAACCCAATTTTCCAGACACCTGGATTTTTTCCGTTCACTATTCTCCAAAGCTGAACCGAAGAAAATTTATACAAGGCCAAAGTCATCTCTTCGATCAAAAAACATCCAAAGAGAAAATGCGCCATGTGTCAGTTTGAATGACAAATGCTTCTTGGTTTTACTGGACAGATTCTTGATCTTGATTGCTGTGTTAACTTTTCTAGACTAGCCACTTGTCTAGGGTTTTCAAGATACACACAAAAACTGGTTTCATGATCCAATACCATCCGTGTGAGCACAAGCGTTCCCCCCAAAAAAAGAATCCACTTTCCACGAGAAACTCGTTATTACTTTAGGAGGAAAATGATTGATTGATTCTTGTACATTTACTTCGACCCCGAGACGGTTAGACCGCGAACCCACCAACCGAAAGTTCCGTGGTTCCAACCCGACCTCTGCATTTCGACTCCTCTTGTTTACACTTGGGCAATCTGGCACTCTCTCAATTCTCGTGCTTCCTTCATTTGGCTTAGCAGGTGGTATTCACCTGTAAGGTGTTACACCTGAAAGATTATCATTATTACTATTCGTTCGTTCGCATTACAGAGCAGTTACTGTTGTACACCATTGCGCAAAACACCTCCGTTAACGGCTGTCTAGGCGTTCTCGTTTGGCTGTTCTGTTTCAAGCATCAAACACACACTTCTCATGAGTGTGTACACTGTGAATGAACGGTTGGAACCGGATTCAGTCGAGAGCATTCTGTGGTAAAATTAGCACAACATTTTGTATGCGGTTGTTTTGTTGTGTGTGTGTGTGTGAGGTTGTCAGCAAACAGCCATTCATCTCCCTGAAATTTCCGCCTCAACTGACTGGATTGATTTGATATTTTCAACTCACACACTTGGGCCAAGCATATTAAACTAGTTATTGTATGATTAATCGCGGCTTGCCGTTCCAACTCTTGTGTAAATAGATGATATTTTTCGGGTTTGCCTGCACTGGAGACAGTGTTTCGGCTACGAAGTTCCCCAGCATGACACAAACCAGACGTATAATAAGATGACAAATAGTATCTGAGTAGACTACATTTGCGTGATTACACTTTGGTTATTTTCCAGTCATCCCTAGGTTTTACTTTTCAAAACGATAGCATGTTCTTCGTAATCGTATGTATTCTTTCCAGCTTGTGTTCCAGTGATTTCACGTGCATAGTGACATGGTCGTGTTTATTTCAAATTCACAGAACATTTCTTGGGTGAAGAGATGAACTCGATTGTTTGGGTCCTCACATTCTTTTCTATGTAGGTCACCACTGACAGGGACTAAGGATCATCATCATCATCATCGACAGCATGACATCAGTGTTCAACACCGATGCTTCACTGCCGTACAACCATGACTTATTTGAAAGCCTTATTGTAAAGAAAAGAGTACAAGTGGACGGGGAAGGGACTTAGTGCTAGCTTATCACAATCGTACCGAGGTGCCTACACCTCCAGACGTTCACTCAGGCAATCTGGATAGAAACTGACAGCAAGAACGCCACTGACATCAGTTGGCAGCCATATCTTGTAGTGTCTCCGACCAGGCACAGAGAGGATCACGCGGTCCCCATCCTGGAAGGCGAGTAGCACCGACAGCACCCAAGCTTTTCGTGATTTCTTTCAGACTCCTCTGCCAAGTCAGGGGTTGGCCACCTCTCTGTTTACGCCACTCTGAGTTGGGCATGGAAAACAGTACTTTCTTCGGCAAACGATGGTTCAGCATACGCAACACATGTCCCAACCAACGCAGTTTCTTTTCTGTCCGATGTCGGTGATATCGGATATCGTCTGTGGAAGGGTTGATTATCCATGCCCAAGTTCGATTATTGCACTCTCCTGGTGGGATACGCCTATCGATTGGTCATCCGGATCGGGGGTTCCGATTAAATAGGAAAATGTTGTTCTCTTCAGTATTGGGAACCATGATTGTGCTGAGAAGAGCCACTTAAACTGAGCCATGTGTAGCGAAACTGAAGTGGTATATCGCGGGAAATTTGCCTTAATTTCTGCCAGCTGGCGAACAAGAGTCAACGTAAATTCAAGATCAAACGACATGCGTTATTTTCAAGATCACCGTTTGCCACTCTGTTCATCCTGGTTTCAAACTCTCCCTGTGGACGGTATACTTAAATTAAAGCAATTGAAAATATTTGTCAAACGCTTTGGATAACTTTTGCAGTTAGCCTTTTGTTCTGTACAGTTAATTTCTTGTCACATATGCGAATTCCATTGGCATAGTTCGGTTCGAGACGGACAAATGTGGAGACAGAGTGTAATCTAACTCATTTATGCATGCATTTTGATCTGGCAATTGTTTTAGTTAGAACACTTCTTCGATCTCGTTATTCGGTTCACCTCTTTCTGTTTCACATTAGCTTGCCCATTTCACTCATTGTTTCTGCTGAATCAGTTTGTGTTCTGATTCGTGTTTGGATCGAAACTTCGATTGTCCCATTTAGGACTGTCCTTTACCACAGTTTACTTGACACACTCAACTTCATCGGTCATCCTCCAGCTGGAGATTGGACCCCATGTAGTGCTTCCGGTCGTTACCACTCTCCCATCCTCAGTGTTCTAATTACACCTAAACAGTCCGATTTATCCCCACGGTTCCCTAACACCATCTCTCCTTGGTTCACTTTGTTCTCTCACACTGGTACGACGGTGGTTGTCGTGTGAACTGGAACGACGACAATGACAACAACTGCAGTGAGAGGCAATGTCACGTGACCGACACATCCCTTTCATCCTCTCCCGTCCGCGCGAACCTCGTTTATGTTGCTCCCTGCTACTTTTGCTGTCAGTTTGTTGTTCTGCGCTGTCCTGGCATTTGGACGACGACTGACTTGTATCTACACCAAGGCGCTGATCGTTATAGTGACCGAATCTCCCTCCCTCCGCATTACTGTCAGTCAATCGGTGCTGTCAACGCGAAAGACGCTTTTGTCCAACCAGTCGTTTCCAGTGCCACATCGTTGTGACGTGTGCGTTTTCTCGTTAATGATTTAAGCATTACGTTGGTTGCTTCCGGTACCTGGCTCAGCGTGGTGCATGTGACTTGCCAGAAAGAAAATCTATTCGCCCTTGACGATAAATGTTCAATGATATGTGAAAAGTAATACACTATTCAAAACCGCAGTGCATGGGTAACGACCAAGGGACGAGATGAGCCTACTTTGAATTGGAGAATGCTTTTGGAATTGCTTCGACCGGATGTATCAGTGTGTGCTGGTGAGCACATTTCAACAAACGCCCCGTGTGCTATGCTACAGCATCTTACCGTTCTCTGTAAACACAGAATCTGATTTGATTCTGAAAGAAAAGAAAGGAAGAAAGCGTTCAGCTGTAGCACCCTTCCAGTGCTTAGCTGCCATGCCACCCGAAAGAAGCACGAGGGCTTGGATACTGCCAGGTTGCCCAAGCCCAGACAGGGAAAGTCGAGTGGCGGGGGTCGGATTCGAACCACGGACCTTCCGGTCAGTAAATTCGCGATCTAACCACTCGGGCCATCTCGCCCAAAACGTTGTCTATCGTCAGACAGACATCGTTGTCGTGGTTGATCTGTCAAGCGTTGACATATTCTCAGCTATGATAGTTGAGCAAGTTTACACGCGCCAAAATTAAACTTTTTTTTGTGGTGATGATAATTTAATTTTCATCGGTTTATTTTTGATCGCCTCATTATTAAGCATCACGCGGAACGGTCAAACGATTCTCTGAACTTGAAACTCGACTACCTGGTGAGTCTTAAATAGTGCAAAAGCGACTGTGGGCTGTGGAGAAGTTTTCAGCAACCTTGTGAGTAGTTTCCTTTATGAAAGTATACTGCGATATCTCGAATATCGTGCCAACTGAATCATGAGGCGGCCTGTGTGCAGCACATTCAATTGTAGAATATCATAAACAAGAGAGTCAAGTCTCTCGTGAAAACCAGATTGATTTGCAAATGAATGTATTTCTCGAAAACAGTCCAATTTGGGCTCAAGAAGAACATAAGGTTGACGGAAACCTGGGGACTGTGCCCACCTGATGAGCCCCCAAAAAAGGCGAAACCGGTCGTGGGCTGTCGATGGATTTTCAGCAACCTTGGGAATAGTTTCATTTATTAAGTTTTCAGCAAATTTATGAGTAGTTGTGTGCTTTGTCCGGTCGAATGATGTTTTGGTATCCCCATGTATTTGAAGTAGATGAGTGAACTTCACTGTATAAGGGGGGCCCAGCGAAAAACTAAAGTAGAGCCGATTGCTACTGTTGAATAGAATGAATTACTTTTGCAGTTATCATTTCAGAGGACGAACTAACCAAGCAATAAACAGAAACTAACAGCTACTCTGGGTCCAACGTTTCCGGTCGTTCAACCAAAAATAAGCCGACCCCCCTTGATCCTGAGACTTCAAGCTCTTCTACAATTTATTTCGTCTGTCAGTCCTTATGCAGTTTGGTTGACAAATTAGACAGTCTCAGAGCTTGGTTGACCACGTGTCAGGTTCCATCGCTCGAAGCGATGGAACGACAATCACTCGCTTCACAACCCGGAACACCGGTAGACACCTGCTGACCACAGGTCGTCCCGTTGCTTCCAAATAGAAATTCGCTGTTCAGTCCAATACCCCGGGTGTTTACATTCAATTAGACAATGCCTACTCCGCCGATATAGCTAGTTTTATCCACCCAAATGATGGTAAACTAAGTCATCGTAATATTAATCTCAGATCACCTCTTATTATTTTTTCACCGTTCCAACCGTGTGCTAAAATGACCGCTTATAGTGAGATCAATGTGACTGTCTTGTCAGTTTTGTCTAATCACGTTTCTAAAAGACTGGTCTGTTAGTGATCACAGCTGTATCGCGCTGAATGTTCGCTTGAGATCTAAGCCTGCAGTCTTCGTCACGCAACCGGTGCCTCTCGCCAAATGTATGGTGTTTATTGCAAATTGATCTCTTCTGCATCGTTGCATTTTTCCTTCTCGGAAAGTCCCAGAGTTTTGACAAATAATCACTTCTGCACAGGAATTATGTATTTTGACGGGAGGCTCAAGTGAATCCAGCTTGAACTCCCGTTGATAATGCTCCAAGAGTCTTCAACAGCCTTTTGAGGATCGTGCAGTTTCTCAGGGATTTTGTCCGCAGTCAAACGTATGCGGTGTACACATATGTCTGGAACAGCCGTGCTGCCGAGCAGCCAGTATAGTGCGAGAGTTCTGCTCTGGCCCGGAAACTTTACGACTAAGGGAGTCGCGCATCGGCCGATCTGCGCTGAGCTGTACTTACAGAGATGCCTACAAATGTCATCGAATCGTCATCCTTAGATTCACAGTTTGCTCGAGCAAACAGACGAAGATGACTAACGACACAAATTTCATTGCATTCGTTCTATGTTCTGCGCTTCTTCAGTTTCCATCCCCGTTGTGTT